TATATGTATGTATATGTATAAGTATATATGTATGTGTACACGCAGCGAGCAAAACCCGCGTACGTACCCGGTATTTCCCCTCTTCACCTTGACCTCATCGCGTTCGGGTCGCCCCTCTCTCTCAACACAACATCCCCGGGCTGTAGCTGAAGACCCGGGTGGTGCGTGGGGGCTTTGCGGGTGGGATCACTTCACCGTACCTCCAGCGAAAACACTTAAGATATGTTGTTGTTGTCGTACTACCTGCGGTACAGGTCACCCACTTGGCGCCTGAGACGATGGTGCAAGGTGCGGACTGGGACGGAAAGGGCCCTCGGACGGCTGGGGGAAGTGGGGAGGGGGGAAGTGGGGAGGGGGGAAGTGGGGAGGGGGGAAGTGGGGAGGGGGGAGGGCTCATTAGGATTGTTGGGGGAGGTGGGCACAGGGGGGGGGAAGGGGGGAGACGAACCACGAGAACGAGTGAAGCTGACGCTAAGGATAGACTGGTGCTCCGGCATTATGTAACTAATGTAACTAATGTAACTAACGAACCAGTCGCGGCATGTGAAGGACTCGTCAGTCTTCTTCTCGGTGGTGTAGTCATGAAGATAGCGGAGAATATGACCTGCCCAGCGCTATAAGACTAAAATGAAATGCGGAAAGAAAGCAAAAAAAGCCATCTCTGGGATTCTAAAGGTATGTGTAAAGGAGGCGAACAGCGAACAATACCGTAGTAAGCTGACTGTTGAGTTGAAAGAATTTCCCCCCGTCTTCTCCCGCCCACCCCCCGGGTCCCGACCCCTCGCAGGAAGCAAGTTGGACCACACGGTGGACATCTTTGCTTTTGGAATCCTAATGTAAGTGCCGTACACTCGGACAGCTTCAAACCTTATCATCGCCATCGTAATGCACGCACCCGGACCGACCGGTTTCACGGGCACATACACATGCGGGTATGTACGACATACAGGCTTTCACTGGCACTGCCGGCTCCCCCCCGCTGTTGGCGGGCGCCCCCAGGCGGTGTCGATACACGGCTCCCCCCACCTTTTCCCC